TTAGGAGGGTATAATGGTCATTTTATGTTAAAAATTGGTGAAAAGGACGTTTTCCGCAAGAAAATGCAAAGGTAGGGATGTCCTGTACCAAAAAATCATGCGTATGGACGTTTTCCACACAGCCTGTCATAGACAGGGACGTTTTGCGCCAATTACCCTTTCTTTTATTGTCATATGATTTTTGAACGACATGTAGACGTTTAAATCCACGCGTTGTAATGCAGAAAAGTATTACGCGTAAAATTGACCTTTGAAGAACAATAGTAACGTTATCATGAAAATAATTACATATTTAATAGATAATTAATTGTAGCTTACGAATATTAACGTGGTAGTTAACAATTAGCCCCCGTTTGGCACCCATTTTTTTTCTCATTCTCATTCTCATTTTTTTCTCTTTCTTTATTTCAACCACACATTCTATCAATAAAATAATATTACACATAAACCTAAAAATTTTCCTTACTTTCTAACCACACATTCTTCCATCAATCACTATTCAAAAACACATTCTTTCAAAAAAATGGGTGTCAAACACCCTCTTAATTAACCCAAATGATATCCGCCACGTTCCCATTTCCTCCCCTCGGGATATGTATAATAAGATTTCATCAGATAAGAAAATGGACCGTCTTCAAAATCTAGCCATACACGCGTCAGTCAATTAATTCGGCACATGATTTCCACCATTAATTTGGCATAAGAAAATGGACCATCTTCGAAAGGAATCTGTCCAATAATGTGATGTGTGTTTTTGTCACGTGATATAGTGCAAAGTGAAGTGAGTGTGTAGTATGGTTCAATCACATTTGTGCTTAGACAGCATTATATGCATAGATGGAGTAATGTTATATAACCTAAGGATTACAATTTTAGTGTAGGTGACGCTAGATGATTGATTAAATGAAATGTAAAATTAAATAAGATTAAATTATTTAATTTCACATATCATTTAATGTTATGTTAATATTCCCTAAATTAGAATTTTAATCCCAATTGAGCTACATAACATTACTCGCATATATAAGATAGCAAATGTCTAAGTTATTTCCTTGATTAAATCATTTTGCCAGAAAAAAATTGACACTTTTATTGGCATCCTCTCACATTGTGACGGGGATCCACGGGGGGTCCATATGAATTAAAAATGAAAGAAAGTCCTAAATTAGAATTATAGTCCTTGTTTGAGCTCTATTTTGAAAGAAAAAAAATACATTTTTGAATAGTGATTTTTGGAGAATGTGTGGTTAAAAAATAAAAATGAAGAATTTTTCATTTATTTATGTATAATATTATTTTATTGAAAAATGTGTGGTTCAAAATGAATTTTTGATAAAATGAGGCTCAAACAAGGTGATAATCTCAATTGAGCTGCANGGTTTGGATGATTTGAGATTGGATGAATTGGTGAGGTTTGGATGATTTGGGATTTTCTTAAAATTTTGGACGCATTTGCATTTTAAAAAAGTTTCAGAGCAAATTGCAATTTATTCTTTATTTTTCTTTTATTTTGTTTTTTGTTTTATTTATTTAGGAGGGTATAATGGTCATTTTATGTTAAAAATTGATGAAAAGGACGTTTTCCGCAAGAAAATGCAAAGGTAGGGATGTCCTGTACCAAAAAATCATACGTATGGACGTTTTCCACACAGTCTGTCATAGATAGGGACGTTTTGCGCCAATTACCCTTTCTTTTATTGTCATATGATTTTTGAACGACATGTAGACGTTTAAATCCACGCGGTGTAATGCAGAAAAGTATTACGCGTAAAATTGACCTTTGAAGAACAATAGTAACGTTATCATGAAAATAATTACATATTTAATAGATAATTAATTGTAGCTTACGAATATTAACATGGTAGTTAACAATTAATTAACCCAAATGATATCCGCCACGTTCCCATTTCCTCCCCTCGGGATATGTATAATCAGATTTCATCGGATAAGAAAATGGACCGTCTTCAAAATCTAGCCATACACGCGTCAGTCAAATTAATTTGGCACATGATTTCCACCATTAATTTGGCATAAGAAAATGGACCATCTTTGAAAGGGATCTGTCCAATAATGTGATGTGTGTTTTTGTCACGTGATATAGTGCAAAGTGAAGTGTGTACGTAGGATGGTTCGATCACATTTGTGCTTAGACAGCATTATATGCATAGATGGAGTAATGCTATATAACCTTAGGATTACAATTTCAGTGTTAGCGACGCTAGATGATTGATTAAATGAAATGTAAAATTAAATAAGATTAAATTATTTAATTTCACATATCATTTAATGTCATGTTAATATTCCCTAAATTAGAATTTTAATCCCAATTGAGCTACATAACATTACTCGCATAGATAAGATAGCAAATGTCTAAGTTATTTTCTTGATTAAATCATTTTGTCAGAAAAAAATTGACACTTTTATTGGCATTCTCTCACATTGTGACGGGGATCCACGGGGGGTCCATATGAATTAAAAATGAAAGAAAGTCCTAAATTAGAATTATAGCCCTTGTTTGAGCTCTATTTTGAAAGAAAAAAAATACATTTTTGAATAGTGATTTTTGGAGAATGTGTGGTTAAAAAATAAAAATGAAGAATTTTTTATTTATTTATGTATAATATTATTTTATTGAAAAATGTGTGGTTCAAAATGAATTTTTGATAAAATGAGGCTCAAACAAGGTGATAATCTCAATTGAGCTGCATAACATTACTCATGTAGATAAGATAGTTAATGNCATTTTTGAATAGTGATTTTTGGAGAATGTGTGGTTAAAAAATAAAAATGAAGAATTTTTCATTTATTTATGTATAATATTATTTTATTGAAAAATGTGTGGTTCAAAATGAATTTTTGATAAAATGAGGCTCAAACAAGGTGATAATCTCAATTGAGCTGCATAACATTACTCATGTAGATAAGATAGTTAATGTATAATTTATTTACTGAATTAAATCATTTTCTCAGAAAAAATTTGACACTTTTGTTGACATCCTCTCACATTGTGATGGGATCCACGCAGGATCCATATGAATTAAAAATGAAAGAAAGTCCCACCCACACCCCAACCCAAAAAAAAACTGTGAGAGGTTTGTCCTTCCTTAGCAGCCCAGCATTGTTCTTATTTCCTTCTTGGACATTTTTAGTACCATTTTTTGCGTTTAGTAAAAGTATTTTACTAAATGAGTGACACCCTCCTTGACAAACAGCCCAACCCAACATTGTTCTTATTTTCTTCTTGGACATTTTTAGTACAATTTTTGGCGTTTAATAAAAGTATTTTACTAAAATGTTTATACCGTAGCGTCTGTCGACCATTTGTCGTACCTAAAAAGTAAAAACTAACCTTCATCAAATTGATTAAAATTATTCCACCTAACATTGTACTATCATCTTTATATTAAATACACAACCCATCAAAACAAGAAATCTCAACTGATGATAATAATAATAATAATAACGCATTATATAATCAAATTAATCCTATGGCCATTATTTAAAAAAAAAAAAGTCTTATTTTAAAGGGAGACAAACAGAGACTAAAAGATATTAATATATTTAAATAGTTAATATATAATATTATTTAATCGCAACGTTGTTTGTCAGGCAAGAATAAAGAGTAGAAGCTTTTGCTATGCCTTGCATGTGTTTTGGATTGATTATTAGGAACTTTTAAGTACGAATAGTGATGGGATCACAAAATGTGCGGATTATTTTATTTTAAATGTGTGGTTGAAAGTAAAATTTATTTTTGATTGGATAGTATAAATAACTTTTAGCTCGTGTTTAGTTTAGCTAATAATTAGTTTTTTCAGTAAATTTTAATAAAAGTTGATAAAATTTGTGATTAAAGTAGAAAAACGAGTTTTGAAATATAGAATTTGTGAAGAATGTAGGGCTAAAAAGTGGAAAAAAGTTTTGAGTTTACGTATAAAATATTTTATTGTAAAAATGTGATGTTGGAAATGAATTTGAGAAAAAAACAGTTTAAAATAATGATAGACAAACAAGGGCTAAAATTATGTCCCACTGGCAAAATCGTCTTTTTAATTTTCCTCCAACTCCTTGCACTACCATTTGTAGGGTTTTGCTACGTGTAAACCCTAGTGTATATAATGTACAAATGACATTTTTCACCCGTCAATAATGAAACGTTACTTGTACATTATTTTGTTACCGATCAATGATGAAATATCACTGAAGATTATGTACACCAATGTGTAAATCTTAATGTACATGTAGAACAATTCCCATTTGTAAGCTCATAAAATTTTTAAAAATATATATATGTACATCCAAGATTACATAATGCAATATGACACTCAATCATTTCCAATTTAAAACATAGTCAATTTTTCATTCAATTTTTCCTTCCACATCATTTAGGTCACTTTTTCCGACCTTTTTTTTTTATTTGGTAAAAATAGCAAAATCCTTCCTCGAAAACCCTCTCTATTAGAATATTTGAGCCCCATTTTATTATAAGAACGAATTTAGAAATAGTGGATTGATGGAGATTATATATTTAAAAAATAAGCAAAAAGTTTTGAATTTAAGTGTAAAAAATATATGGTTGAAAAGAAAGAGAAAAATGTATTTCCAAAAAATTGGATGAAACAAGAGCTATATCTATCTACGCGCTCTCTCTCCCCGCAAATAGATACACATATACATATACACAAATGTTAGCATCTCTCTTTGAAGAACTTGTGAAAAAGTTGATCTCGAACAACATAGCTTGGGTCTTAATCAGCTTCAATTCCTCGAGTTTGTCGACACAAATCCGCGGATTTAACTCCTTTTCTTTAAACACAAAAAATTATACCTTGAATCGATTGCATTGAGTTTGAAACAACTAATTTGATCAAATAATCCTACATAGAGCCATATATAACAGATATATATAAACAGAAAGGTCTTTATATATAGAGGGTATAGGGCTATAAAGATATATCGATAGATTAAGGTTTTTGGGATTTTTTAATATATAAGAGGAAATGCTAGTGGCAGGATTGCAGATTAATAGGAGTAGAAACGGGGAAGATCGGTTTTACAGTGTAGCGAGGGCTCGCCGGAGTCGAGATCACCTGCGGAGAGCCCAAAGTGACGTCACCGCCAGTCACTCCCAGAGCCGAGCAGACGAGCCTCTGGAAAAAGCCAAGCCGGCTGATGCTGCGCCGACGGTGGCGGCAACCGAGCCGTCGCCGTCTTGTAATCTGGAGAGGTTCTTGGAGTCCATCATCCCTTCAGTTCCGGCTCAACATTTATCCAAGGTTTCATTGCTTGTACATTAATTGACGCTTTGGAATTCGTGCTTAGTTAATATTTGACTTTGTTAGTAGTATTTAGTTCCAAAAGATGGGTTTATTCTATTAATGTTATTAGGATATTTAATGCGATTTTGAAAGTGCGAGTGCTATGGAACATTGAATTTTGCTTAGATGAGATCTTATTCATCGAAGGTTGTAGCTTGTTTAGCCAGGACAATTGTTTCCTTGGTTGTTTCGAAGAATTGGTAATTTACTAGTTTCTTTGATGGTTTTTATTGTTTTGACCTGTTTATTGAAGTGGTCATCTCTCAATGCTTCTTACTGATTCTACATTTAAAATTTAGTTCCCATAATTTAGAAGAATTTTTTTGAGTTTTTGAATAAGTAGTTGATGGAAGGATTTTTGAAATGTGTTTTTAATGGTTGTTTTCTGTAGTATGTTTTTATGCATCTGGAGCAATGTGCACGTGCTAAATTCAAAGTAGATGTAAAATCATTTTTTTTAGTTAGCTAAACTATTGTTTATTGAAATTAAAAATTGGGAATTTTTTCATCACCACTACTCTTTTATTGTTACGTTTTATCACAGGAAGCTAGTGGCATTTTTTTCCTGCCTCAAGGAAGCAAAGCTGCAGTTATAACATTAATATGCAGAAAATTATGTCTTAAAGATAATGTTTAGCTTTGCTAGTATAATAACCTTCTTTAACTCGAAAGATGTAGTGCTAACAAGTTGAAAATCTTATATTAATGAGTTTTGTCTTGTTTATTAGCTATTGATCTTTTGTTAAATGGACGCCGACTGAATATGTTGAAAATTGTTAACAGACGACTATTAGGGGATGGAAAACGTCCAATGTGGAGTTTCAGCCATACTTTGTGCTTGGTGATTTATGGGAATCATTCACGGAATGGAGTGCATATGGTGCTGGAGTGCCGTTGATATTGAATGACATTGATTCTGTGGTTCAATATTATGTGCCCTATTTATCGGGTATTCAATTGTATGCTGACCATTCAAAGAGTTCAGCAAAATCAAGGTATCTACACTCATTGCATAAGTTCCTTTCAGATAAATATGAACCTCACGGAGCACCATGGCATGAATTCAGAGAGCCTAATACTTTCCAAAGGAAAAATAAAGGATAAACTGATGAAGACTCAAAGACCTGCTGTTCCCGTGTTACATTTCATGCATTTTATTTTTTAATTTTTATTGAGATCAAGTTGGCAAATTATTTTTGCATTATTGTTATCGTTGTGGTTGCCAAGCTACACTATGAAACTCCCCTTTTAAGTTTGGCATTTCTTGCCAAGAACAACTTCTGATTTTTCAGCTTATGGTTCAACACACTGTAGACAATTAATCATTTCTGTAGCTATTTTTGATTTGCCATGTGATGCATACTTCCAAGTTCCAAGAATGAACTAATCCAAGTTGAGCAGTAATGCTTTTGTGGAAGATTTTGAACACACATGTCGATACTGGAAATAAAATCATGAATTTGTTATACAGATAAATGGAAATAGAAATGTTTATTTTTGAACGTTGTCAATATGGATTCCTGTATATGTGAGAATGAGAGGGATGGTTGGAGGGAGAATGTGTGTTATGTCTTAAATCAATATACACATACACATGTAGGGGTGTGTGTGTGTGTCTGTGTGATTCTGTATCTTTAATAAATAGCTTGTTAGATTATAAGTGAAATATACTGTCTACTTTGGATGGTTACTTGTGTTCCCTTCATTCGTAGTAGAATGTCTTGGTTTAAATTGGCTTCATGTTTTTGGTAAGAGTTGAGAAAGTGACTGTTTGATGGAAAACTTCAGTTTTCCACAAAAGTAAGGATTGGGAATTTTTGTCAATTACATGAACCAGCTTAATCATGGACATTTTGGAAGTGTTCATGTGAAAATGTCAAAATTGAAAATTGAAAATATGTTTATCACAGTCATGAATGGACGGAGAAAACGATTTTAAGTTCTATCATTTAATTTCCTTGCAATATGCTTCACTTATTTCTCTCACACTCAACAAAATGACTGATTTTTCTTTCTGCTCTATTTTTGTCATCTTCCTTAATAAATCACTAATATCTTTAATTTGCTAGACAACAGTGGAGTAATTTTGTTTAGTCTGCTTACATAATTTCATGGCGTTTAGTTATTTACGCTCGTGACTATTGAAGCTATTAGCAACTCAATATTTTACAGTTATCTTTCAGTTGTATACATGAAGAAACACACCTTGCAACTTTCTAGAGTAACAAATGAACTCTAAAAGGGAAGATATGGTGCCTGAACACACACCCACTTTTTGCTCAATGGAATGCACAGACGAGTGTTACATGGACATCCAAGCTCTTCTGTTTTATTTTTTTACTGGTTGTGTGGGTGGTTATAGTCTGTATAAATAAGATGCTTTTTGTGTGTGAGATGCACTGATTCTGTTTCCACTTATTGGTGGTCCCATTATAAATTATTTAATTTACAATGCTTATCAGCAGCTTGTAAAACCAATATTATAGGTGTCTTAATTATGTGACCTCGAGGTTTTGTGCGGAGTCATGGTGCTTTATTTCTTTTCATTTTATTAGTCAAAATACTTACAGGATATATTTACTGTGTCTTATCCTTGGCTGCTGTGCTAGACGTTACAACTTATAATGTGGCATGTCAAATGTCATTAGGCCTTTTCCCCTTTCTTAGTTGTTCTTAATTGATTGATGTACACTGGTTTAGTACTCATTTATAGTTTTGGCAAATTAATGTTCCTCAAACTAGTCTCGCATTTACATTTTGTGATAGGCGACTTGGTGAGGAAAGTGACAGTGATAGTATTGCGGATTCTAGTAGTGATGGAAGCAGTGACTGCGGACAGGATAGAGGTGGCTTGAATTATTCAAGCCAACAATATTTTTATCGTTGTCAATCAAGTGAGAATCCTCTTAGAATTGACCAATTGTCTGTGAGTGATCAGAATGTGGCATTTCGAGAAGGTCTTTCTAATGATGAAGGTGAATCTGGAAGTTCACAAGGTTGCTTGCTGTTTGAGTATCTTGAAAGAGACCAACCTTACAGTCGAGAGCCTTTGACAGACAAGGTTTGTTCCTCTTTAGATTCTGAATGAATCACAACTGTTTTTTTCTTTTTTAATTTCTTTTACGGCAGAGAAGTTAAATAACAGTTCCATCCTCTTTTCCTCATGATTTCTATACTGAAATTCTCACAGATATATGATCTTGCTCTCCGCTATCCTGAACTAAAAACCCTCAGAAGTTGTGATTTACTCCAATCCAGTTGGATTTCTGTGGCCTGGTAACAATTATTTGCAAACTCGTGTGATGCTTGACTCATTTACTGATCTGTGTGTAACCATATAATGACTCACTGGGAAAGATTTACTTTTGTAGGTATCCTATTTACAGGATACCAATGGGACCAACACTTACTGATTTGGATGCTTGCTTTCTGACTTTTCATTCTCTTCACACCCCTGTGACAGGTATTTGAAACTCTTTCTCCCACTCTTCTACACAACCCCGCATGGGATGTGTTTATTATTACTTCTCCTCATTATTATGTATTGTCCATTGTCACTCCCTTTTTTCCTTTCCCATGCATGTTTCTGAATTTTTAGAAACAACCAAGCCATTACATAATTGACCTCAATGCTTAGAGTATCTTCAAGAAACTCTCTATTTTTAAAGAGTTCTATCATTTGGAGAGCATCTATATATTTAGAGAGTTAAAATTTTGAAATACTCCAACAAGCTCTTTATATTTAACACATAATTTTACAACTCCCAAAAATATTTATTATTTTTCTTTATCTTTTATTTTAACTAGCTTTTCTTTAGATTATTTTATTGTTTTTCTACATTGAAAATTGAAATACTTTGAATGCATTTAATTATAGAGAGTGAATTGGACTCTCCAAATTTGGAGAGTGGAGAGTCAAACCTACTCTCTAAATTAAAATGTTAATTTAAAGTGTCTCTTGGAGCATGATTTTAAATGTTGACTCTTTAAAATAGAGAGTATATCATGTTTAAAGAGTCTCTTGGAGATGCTCTTAGTTCTTTATCTCCAATGATATGTGGAGTCAAACATTGACTGCATTTATCAAGTTTCTTATTTTGACAGTAACTCCTATCCTATTGTCAACTTTTATATACATGGGCGAACATAAAGGGTGGCCAGGGGGGTCAAGTGACCCCCCAACTTTGCTTCTTTTTTTTTTCACCATTAAATTTTCTATGTTTTTGTTTCAATTTTCGAAGTCATTATAGGATATGAAACGAAATCGAAATATTGCATTCTTAATACCATTTTGAAGTGCTCACGGTCTAGTTTTCTACGTCATTGATGGATTACGAAATGATCAATCGTAGCAAATGTTACGACTTGTCAAAGTAAGCCGTTCAAAATTAGTATTTCTAAAATTTCGATAACATGCTAACTTTAAAAATTCTCCAACGATCATACGCTAGTTGAATCTGCAAATTGCTTATGTCATCTAAAAACTTATTTGAAGAACTACATTTAGGCATATCGAATAGTCTAAATAGATATCGAAAATAGTTAAAGATGCATTAAACGTAAGTCTTAAAGAAAAGCGTCTAACTCGCATTTTCTTTAAAAAAAATTCAATTATTTCATTAACATTTATTATTTTTGCCATACAAATTTTTCAATGTAATTTT